AGTCGATGTAGTCCAGTCCTGTAGCATCATCTTACATTTGACAGCAAGAAAGAATCTCATGTCAAACATTCGAAGATTGCTACTCGTTAAGGTGTTCAGAAGAAGAATAAATTAGCAATAAGAAACTATGGCAACAAACCAACCAAGAACTTATCACTTAACAAACATGTGAAGAAAATGGTGATGGATTGGGCACACGCTGATGAGACCGTTGAATGACATCGCGTTGAGTTGGGCATAGGTCCGAGAGTAACATGGAGCAGACTGAGTGAGGATGAGATGAGAGACTATGGGCAACAAGATGTCATCCGAAGATAACTATATAGGGCAGGAAAAAGTGAAGATATGCTGTTACAGCCCTAGTTTCCATTCGGAAACCAAGGGGACAATAATATAATATAATGCTTATGACTGACTGATTGACTGTAGCACTGGATGACATGGGTTCAAATCTCAGGAGGCATATACATTCCTACAAGATTGGAGATATGCCTTGCTACTAAATGGTATGCGCTAATAAGCACGAAACCAAGCCCAAGGGGCACCCTGTTGATTGCCTCCAACCACTTAATATCACCAATTCACAAAGCACAGTGATGGCGAGCCACCTAGCTGCATGGTGATCACACTGCACACTTGACTGATAGAATTCAACCTGAACCAAACAGAGGACTAGGTGTACATGATACTAGTTACAATCTGGTGTCCAACCAAAGTATGCAATGGGGCCACAAAGCCACTAAGTGGCTTGCCATCATAATGGATTGTGAATTCTTGGTATTAGATGGTTGGAGGCAATCGGCAGGAAGCCCTGCCTGACCTAGGCTTCGTGTTTAGTTGGCATTCACCAGTGAGCAAGGCGTCCACATCTGCAACCTTGAAGGAACTCCTGTCCCTTCTGAGATTCGAACCCGTGTCACTCAGTGAGTTCTGAAGTCAGAGACGCTACCACTGAGCTATACGACCTATCTCTCGGACTCCAACCAGGGAGTTGTGACGTACCAACTGATGACGCTAACCTAACACAAATATCCTTCATCCCACAACGCCGTGTCATGGACTAGCCGACCACCTCTCGGCCTTTCCCATCCCATTCTACGGCTGGCTAACGAACAAAGACCTGTACGGAAGCCTCTGGGATGACATTTGCAGCACATGTCCAAGCCACCAGAGCCGGTGCTTCCAGATGACGACACTAAACGCATGATCTCCACTGTGTCTAGATACACGCCGCCGAACCTCAGAATTACTCAGGCGATGGTGCCATCGACTCCAAGCAATCCTGCGGAGACAAAAATGATCGAATACACACAACCACCGCTTATCCTCAGCTCGGAGAGGCCAGGTTTCACAGGCGTAGAGCAAGACAGCCCACACCGAAGCATTGTATATACCCGACCTTTGACATCCAAGCTAACGTTGCGATGGCGTCAGAGGTGGCTCAAGTTAACGTATGCCATTAGCTTTCATGATATGGATCGATATCTGTTTCATCACACACACACACACACACACCGCCAGCACTTACACAACCCCAAGAGGTCCACCTGTAACCATGAGTGCAGGTACAGGCTCCTTCCCCAATCTTGTAACCGAACTTTGCACTTCGACGGAGTAAAGCACATACCATACTTACAGACAATGTCATCTATAACATGACCCGTGTACAAATCAAGATGAAACCGCGCCAAAATATGCCGTCTATCAAGGCCCTCTCTTATATTGTAAAGGACAGATACTGTGATACTGTCGCCTATCCAAATAGGCTTTCCATTTATTGAACTATCCTCTGCCTTCTCGACTCAAAAGTATGTCTAGGTATGCAAGCTGATTGCAACCTTCTCTTCCTGAAATACGCAAAAGTTGATAGCTTTGTTCATTTTGGATCGATGTCTTCTTTCTTCTTTTTCATACGCATTACACAGTTATAATTACAAATTCTGTCTCTTATTTTTCTAACCTCCAATTAGTCATCTTTATCTAGGTTAGACTACACTTTGCATTACGTAATAATACACCGTTTTTTTTAGAACATAGTTACCAGTAATCTGATTAGTTTTTTTCTCTGTGAACTCTTTGTTAAATATATATATATATATGAATGCGATTGCACAGTTGATCATTTTAAAAGAAAAAATAATTCGTAGAAAACTAAGATTTTCTTCGCTGTTTACATTCTCCTATGGGCAAAGTTCAACAGTGATGTTACAATGCGAGCTTGTAGACTATTAGGCCATTGGGACCCAATCCAATGGCCACCCCAAGTTCTAAATTCTACCAATTCTGTCTGGTCTGGATTCAACATAGAACCTGGCACCGAAGTGCACCAGTTAGAGTCGCCACGTTCCAAATAGCACACAAAGGTAGACAAGAAGATGAGTGAAGAGAATCAATACAGTCTGACAAGTATAAGAGTGAAACAGAATGGGTAATGGTAGAAAGGAATATGAAAGATTACAGAGACTGAATACATCTGCGCTGGCCATTGACAACGATTTTGAGCCATTTCATGCCTATCGTCTCCAGCCATTGATTCCTAGAGTCCCGAGGCCCCCAACCTGGATGTCTGCATCTCCCTACATCTGACTCAGTTTAACTGTCAAGGATTTCATGGATTGATGAAGCCATGTTTTTGTTTGGCCACCACTGGCTCTTTTCCAACCTGCACCTATATCAGCTAGTAATGCCCGTCGTCGGGGGAGGCGATGGTTAGGCATGCGCACGCAGCACGTGACCTAGCCATCTGAATCTATGTAACTTTATAGCCTCGTCGATTGGTTTTCCCTCTTTCCCTGCCCAACACTCTACGCCTAACGTCAACATTACTTACCTTACTTAGCGCAACCACTTCGCAATGTCTTCATCGATGAGTTACTGTCTCACCTTCAACCTGCTGCACACCCTACTGGTCACGGCTTCCCACTAGAACCCCAGGTCACTGGCTGAATACGGCCAGTCGCTAGTGAGCGTCAGATCAATTTTCAAGTATTGGTTTTTTTGTAGGGATTTAGTTTGATTGGATGGAGGATTTCATCATGAGCTGACATTTATTGATGAAGCTATGTTTTGGCTTGACCACCACCAACAGCTAGTTTCCAACCACATTCATCCAAAGTCAGTCAGCTCGTCGAGGAAGCCGACGGCTAGGAAGGTAAGCGTATCACATGTCTTAACCATCTCAATTGATATAACTTCACAACCTCATCGAGTGACTTCCCTTCCTTACTTAGCACTCGGCTGATGCCTAACCTCAATTTCACTCACCCTATTATGCTACCCTATCATGTGAGATAGAACGCAGACACCTATGATCAAGTGAAGTGGTCAACACGCTCTACCACTTCACTCATTCCCCACTGTCCAGTGCTGTGGCATTATCTTACATTTCAGAGGTGCAAATCGCATATGACACATTCGAATATTTCTAATCTTTAGAGTGTTCAGAAGACTCTGCGTTTTCTCAGCGTCTTCACCTGGGATGGGGGGAGCATATCAATCACATATTCTAAATCAACAAGACTGTTTGCGCCTCAGTAACAGATTAATTCCTAAGTGGTTGAAGAGTCAGTTAGAGTCAATTTCATTAGTACATTCATTCAATCTTCTCAATGCTTCATAATCTAGACTCCAATGACTTTATTAAGTATAATATACACAACACAATTACAGGTAGTCATAGATGATATAGTCATAAGAAATTTGACGGTAGGAATACAAACTGTGCGTTGGTGGCATAGCCGGTTAGGACGCTCGCCGACCACGCGCACATGGTCCGGGGTTCGATCCCCGGCCACAGACGCACTCCTTTACCTCGCTAAGCCAGAAATAATGCTGGTAAAGAGGAAAGGTCGAGCATGAGGCTAGTAACCCGATCCTGTAAAAATAATCACGACCGCTACAGAAACTTTAAGCCACTAGCTTGAAGCCCTATGTTCCACTGGGAACGTGAAGGAAAAAAAAATAGCATAAAACAAACATTAGGAAGTAAAAGCCAAGCATATAATTAATTACACAACAATCAATGAGAATATTAATGGAAAAAAGAATGTAAGAATAGAACTTGTTCACTGTGGTAGAGTATAATTCCATTATGGTTAAAACACCTTGCAGTGACTATGAGGTCAACTTATTTAAGTAAATATTACTGTGTAACAATGTGAGACTTTATTAAAATAAATTTTACCCATGCAGGGGAAAAAGAATGATACAAACAGCTAAGCCTATGAGTTTAACCCACCTAGTTTACTAACCAGCCCCAAATCTGAAAAAAGGGAAGCTTAGGGGTTCGGGGAGCTAGCGACCCTACCCCGGAAAATCAATCCAACCGCTAGAGAAACTTCATCGCTGAAATTAAAGACACGAAATAACGCGGCTTGATGAAAGCCTTCGGGATGCCAGTCAGCAAATGTGTCTTCTTCCGATGAAAGCAAAAATAAGCATGGGGGGGATATGTGGAATGCTCACACATTTGTGAATCCTGGAACGCATGGTAATAGTAGTAAGCTTTACCCCCCCTCCTCCCCCATGGGTAGGTCGACTTCACCTCAATACGCGTTCATAACCTCCAGCCAGATAAAAGTCCTACTGACTGTCATTCACATAAAAATGTAAGGGTGAATATGAACGTCTAGAGCTTGCAACTGGACTGGTGGACATGTAGGTAGGTTCACACCAAGGAGAACAGGAAAGCCCTAATTTCAAACCTATGGTGTGTGTGTGTGTGCATGGATTCAAGACACCGAAAACATCGAACGGCGTGTATAAGCCATTTGACCGTAATTTCCGACACTACACTCCATTACACTGTGTCACAATCAGACTTCAAATCGAAGGCCCCGAGAGGGTAGGAGTCGCCCCTTAAAAAAAACAATCCTACATGCATCGGTCCGGATATCCGAGCAACACACACGATGTATCAAATTTGTATATTAATAATAATAATAATAAAACCTATTAGTTATAGCAATAAGAAGCAAAAGTAAATACAACAGACTACTTACACGAATGATAGTAATCATTTAGAGATAGAAATCCAAAATTAAATGCTCCCTTTTGTGCACACTGAAAGTAGAAAGTGTAAAAAAAAAGAAAATAATAAAAATTTACACGTATACACGTTTGTTTATATGCAGACAAAAATATTCGATAATAAATTCATCCTACTACGCATACTCTCAGTTGCCGAGCCTGACTGGTTTCAATATAGAAATTTTCACAAATGTGCAGCAGTTTGAGTTGCCACACCCCAATGTAGCACACAAAGCAAGAGAAGAGTAACACATATCCCAAAAATCCTAATCGGTTTAACTTCACAGCCTCATCGATTGATTTCCCCTATTTACCTTACAGACTCGACATCTAACCTCTATATTACTCACCTATATTATACCACCTAATCAATGTAGATAGAATACAAACACCTACGATCAAAGACGGCTAACCGGCTTTTTCGTGTCCTCCACTTTCAATGACCACTTCTTACAGCCAGTCATAAAATAGAGGACGAAGTGAACTGCTGAGCAGTACCCACCCATGTTCTCTGGTCGACAGTCGGATATTAATAACATGCCATAGATGGCGTAATTCGGCGGGCATATACTGAATGAGCCTTCTGTATCCGTGATTAGATTTCGTCAGCGATAAACCCGTTGGGGCTGGTTGATGCAACTCCACCCCCCACCCCTAAATAAGTGAACTGGTCAACATACGCAACCACTTCACTCACTTCCCTCTATCTTTAAGCTAGGAGTGAGTCAACGTAGTCCAGTCCTGAAGTATCACCTTACATTTGACAGCAAGAGTGAATCTCATGCCAAACTGTTGTTGGGATTAGGTTTCGAGACTTTGTGCTATACATATAGTGAATGCGGGCTACAGATACTTACTACCCAGTTACCCAAGAGCAGGATTCAAACTCATGGTCCATTTGCTTGTGTAGTTAACTGTTTAAGACAGTGAACCCCTAACTCACGTGACTAAATACATTAACTATTGCTATATGAGTATCGCCATATGATTTATGTTTGATGTCACACAAAATCGAAGACTTACAAGCGAAAACCGACAAACTGGTCGAAGAAGCAGCCGGCGAAGATAGGACTCCAGGTGAACATAGACAATACGCAGGTGATGAAAATAACCAACCAACATCAACAACAACAACAGCAGCAATATCCAGCGCCAATCACCAACAACGAAAGGGGTTTGAAAGAGGTTACTTCATTCACTTATCTAGGTAGTCAGCATTGTCTCAACTACAGGAAGTCAGAACGGACGAGGATGCCGAATCGAGCGAGAATCACATTCATCAACCTGAAACCAACCTGGAAATCTTCGTCACTCAGCCAACATCAACAACAATATTTGATCGCATTTTCAATACTAACGTCAAGTCAGTCAGTTCTTCTATAAGGAACGGATCAGAAACTTGGCGTGCGGGTCACAAAGAATATTTCCAACAGCCTGTTTCAGACCTTTATCAACCAACAACTGTCTTCGGTCTCTCTATACTGAAGATCAGATGGCCGGGCAGGAAAGAATCACCATCAACAAGAAACTATGGGAGCAGACAAAACAAGAACCAGTCGCTTGCCCAACAAATATGCAGGAGTAAGTGGAGATGGATGGGACATTACTCGCTGAGGAGGCCGGGCCGCTGGGTGACATCGCGCGCGCGTTCGGCCATCGTTCGAGTGGAACCCGACAGAATGGGAAGCGGCGAATGGGACGTCAGTGCAAGGATGATATGGAGGAGATGGTGTAAAGATGAGTTGAAACAATATGGACCTGCTAACATGGATGCAGGATCAATAATAATAATAATAATAATATGAGTAGCACAGTCCTCACTCTTGAGCACGATGATTACACCATTATGGTGAATGAGATCAGAAGTGATCTTTATTTTGTGTACAAGTACAATTAAGTTATAAAGCGTATGGACAGTTTATCAGAGCCATGTGTATAAATGTAAGGCTCCACTTGATACCAATATTCAGATTATGAATTTCGCTAGAATTGCTAGTTGAAGAACAACTGAAAGCAAAGGAGAACTGAACAGCTATCGAATTTTTTTTTTGATTTACAGCTTGATTCCACACTGTATTTTTGGTACAAGTATGGAATTTCCAGCATGTGATATCGGTAGCCCAAATTTCTCAGGCCGACCATAGATATCAGGTGTGCGTCGGTGCGGGCTCGAACCCCGGACCATGTGCATGGTCGGCGAGAGTCCTAACCACTGTGCCACCGACGCTATTCCTTATCCCGATGGAATCGATTATACTGCAGGCTGTAGGGAGAGAAAAGACACGAAATACGTTGGACTGACAGGAAGACTAGACTCTAGAATATCTAGATTCTACAGATGATTTATGTCTAATGTCACAACAAACTCAAAAACTTACAGGCGAAAACTAACAAGTTGGCAGAACAACAAGTGAAGACAAGAATTTGAATGAACATTAAAGAAGAGATAGGTGATGAAGATACTCCGAGTGCCCATTATATATTCAGCGGAAGAAATTTCAAGGAAGTCACTTCTCCCACTTATCTAGTCAGCTAATAAAAAAACCTCACGGAAAAGGATACCAAAGCCAGATCAAGATCAACAAAGGCAAGACACTCTGAAATTTCAGTGGAGTTTTGGATTTCCGATACTAATTGTCAAGTTAATTCTCCTATATGATTCAGAGACTGGGTATATGCGCGTCAATAAAATAATTTCCAACAGGCTTCAGACTCCTAATCAACAGCTGCCCCATTGCTAAATGCCGAAGATCAGACGGACGGCCAGTCGGAAAGGATAAGCAGAAAGAAACTCTTCCAGGCATCTAAGAACCCATCGCGTAACAAATGGGAAGAAGAAAATGAAGGTAGACCGGACACATGCTATGGAGGCTGTTCAGTGTAACCCGGACTGAGGACGACGAGTTGGTCATGGGTCCGAGGATGAAATGGAGTAGATGAAAGCTAATAGGCATTAATGCAACCAGTTGAAGAGGATATAAGAGAACAGGACGAAATAGAAATATACTATTCCATAATAATGATATATTGTGCAGCTGTTTCACCCCAATTTGAAGCTTTTCAGCGATGCACACCTGTGTCCCAGTCAGGGACATTCAGCTTATCCATCCAACGTCCCACTGACCATTCTCAGCTAATGGGACAGAATCCAATATCCCATGAACGCTACTCTCACCAATCAATTCACAGTATAAAGCGTCAGCACCAGCCCAATATTATCTGTGAGTACCTTAACTTGGTCGACCAAACTAACACTAACTTCTCACAATAACCTCAGGCAATCCACATCTCGCATATAATTAGTTTCTTCATGTGTTGATTTCCAAAACTTTTGATTGATCACAAACAAACATCACAAACAGATATCGCGAATTAACAGAAATCAGAATTTGATGAGACATTGAATTCCACAGTCCAGTGGGTGACTGAATGGTCCACACACTTTGCTATATAACCCAGAGGTCCTGGATTCGAACCCCGATCGATCATGGGTGCGTACTACTGAAGAGTCTGAAACCGGGACGAAACAGCTACGCAATATCCCCCTCCCCTCACTCCCGAACTAGGTTCACAAAGGTTCTCTACTAATGTTTCGAGTAAAATATCACGCAAATTATCAGGAAGCATAATATGAAGGAGACTTGTTGAGTTCAACTATAGGAAATTATCGAAAATAGGAGTATCAGGGTAATATAAGTGTAAAAACTTGGGCACTGTAGTAGTAAGTAATTCCATATTAGTTTGTTTATTGGATATATCACTCACAGTGAGTGAAACAGTATTATTATTTACTGGATGACACCGTTTCGAACACAATTCATTATTCCTGTTCATAAGCAGTACACCGTATATAAAGGGAAGTCTTCCGCTTCATTGCCTACTGAAGCTGGTGTCCCTCAAGGGGCTGTTCTTTCTTTTTTCTTTCTTCTTGCATGACTTGCCTCACTCTGATGAAATAAACTTTGTGAAGTACGCTGATGATTTAACGGTTTCAATGGCTGTTAACTCCCAGCTAGATTGTACTAAAATAAATAGCTTTCTATCGGGAGTCAGCAAATGGTCTGAGTCTAACGGTCTTAAACTGAATCCTTCTAAGTGTCAAACTGTTGATTTCAGCTTAAGATGTAAACGACAGTTAAAAGAAGTCATCGATTCTCATGACAGTTGTAAAATTGACGACAATGATATAGGAATCAAATCAGAAATTAAGTATCTTGGACTCATTTTCTCTTCTGATCTCTCCTGGTCTTCCCATGTCTTAGCAATCTCCAGTAAAATATTCCGCCTGACATTTTACATTAAGAAGTTAAGACACTCGGGTATAACTCAACCCCTCCCACTTACAGTTCATAAACTCTTGCATCCTACCTATTCTTCTTTATTGCTCACCCTTTATTCTTTCCTGGTTTGCTTAAAAAGGACTATGTCACAATTCGTAGAATACTGAAGACTGTCAGTAGGATGAGTGGTGTCCCAGTGGACCACATAGTTAACGTCGTTGTCGATAGGCACTTGACTTCGTGCAATAAATTTGCTAAAGGGATTTTGTCTGACTTGGAGCATCCGCTTTACCCTCAGCTTTCACCTTGCATCTCCTCAGGTAGAACAAGGAGTAACTTCAGAAAACTGTATGCTCGCACGTCTAAGTATAAGAATTCTATGATACCATACTTGGAACGTATTTTATGTGATGAAAAAAGTGTCAGGCAAGAATTAACTAACTTTTTTTCATCTAGTAAATAAACAATTTCCTCCATCCATCCTTATATACCTTCAAGTTTTACTTTTATTACTTCTATTATATTTATGGTCCTGTTACTTCTCTGTTTTACTCTCATAATTGCAAACACCAACTTATCTCCATGACGGCTGTAATCTTTGTTTTTCCCCTCATCATATCATGTAAACAGAACGTTATATTCAATATTTTTAAACATGTTAGGATTTCTATACCACATTGCCAATACTGTGTGACACAAGCCAACGGCAATTTTCACTTGTATTATTATTATTATTACCCTAGCTGTTATCAT